ATATTAGGGGTGCACCCTGAGTAATTATTCAAGCCCCCATTTTTATAGGGCCCTTAATTTTTCTATTATATTGTTTGTTTTTATAATTTAACCCTTTTATTTTCTTGAAGTTTAGTTTTTTATCTTTATAATTGAAGTATTTAATTTTTGTAATCCTATTTTTTTATCTTTATAATTGAGGTCTTTAAATTTTTTCAATTATATTTTTTTACATTTATAATTGATGATCCTAAGTTTTTCAATCTCACTTTGTACTTTTATAATTAAGCTTCTGATTTTGTCAATCTCACTTTTTATCTTTATAATTGAGGCTCCTAATTTTTTCAATCCCATTTTTACCTATATAATTTAGGCCTCTAATTTTTTCAATCTTACATTTTACCTTTATAATTGAGGTCCCTAATTTTTTCAATCATACGATTTATTAACGTAATATTAAATTAATGTCTATATTTTAGTTTCGATCAGAGTTGAAAAAATGTCTGAGATAACTTTGTATTTATTAGATAGTTTATTAAATATACCAAAAAAAAATTACAAACAAATTTATTTATTTTTTCTTCCTCTTACAATTTAATTTTTTTCGATACTTGTTATTGGAGGACTAGTTTTTATATTCACCCCGGACTACTAAAATATCTGAAACCTGCACACAAGATAAAAAAAAGATCACTCTGACCATCCCAATATAGCATACGAGCCTTCGTTGGCAACCGATCGAGGATCTCATTCTTAATCTAACATTTTTATATCTACGTCATCTTTTCAAACACTCAAATTTTAAAATTTTAAGACAATAATCACCGTAACTATACAAATGCTTTCCTAAACGTTAACTAATCTCCCGATCTCGAAATAGAACATCGGATACCAAAAGTGATTAATAAATCTTATGGCTGAAATTACTTGGGAATCGGATTGTAGTTTGATTGAGAAACATGTTTTTCAGCTTAAACGTGGGAGACAAACCAAAGCTGTTTGCTTCAAATGCAGAATGCGTGAAGCGAAGATGCCGATTAATATGGTAATAGAACAGGCCTCTGTTTTGGGCTTTTCAAACTTGTTGGGCCCAAATCATGTAGAAATATCTGCTTCCTTAAAATGGACGAGTGGAATCGATATCCTAACATTACATTATTCAAATTTTTATTTAAACATTCGGACCACAGGATAACGATAGTTGTAATAAATAGCTCACGCATGATTCATCAATGCACGAGGCTGATATCAAATTGTCCCACAATTGATGTAAACCTTGGCTTGTGCTATGCTTGCTTCCTTGACTTCCATGTTACTCGGTTATGGTAAGAAAAGAGTTCCATTCATGAGCTTAAGAACGTTTTAGTGACGATTTACAGTCTAAATCTATGTATGAAAATAGATAAATCAATCAAAGAGTTTGTGTTCTTCATCTTGTCTTTTTAGAGAAAAAATACAAATAAATGTAAGATCAGAAGAAAAACAATAATAGATTTTGTTTTAATTTCAAGAAATAAACTCCTAGAGCGAAGATACTATGCACTGAACAATAGAAGAATCAGTGTAAGAGTGAAGGGCTTGATGATCGAGAAATCCCTAATTTTAAGTATCCATGGAAGACTTAGAGAAGGTAGGAGGAAGGAGAAGGATGGGGAAATAACCTTAGTGGGATGGCGCGGAAGAGGTTTTTCTTTCTTTACAAAGAATCATACAACGCTATTGCTATTTCTTGTAAACTTTGGATTATATAAGATGTATAATTGCACCATTATATTTGTTAATAGGTTGAATTCCACAATAACATACGATTCAATTTTTAAATTTTGATATTTATGATTTGGATCATAAATAATTTACAAAATTTCTTCGTAAGATTGGCTTCGCTCTTATGTTCAAATACGGGTCCGCTTGTGTGATTCTCAAGTTGAAACTAGAGATAATCTTTTTGCTGATTGTGCTTTCTCTAGTTTAGTTTGGTAGTGTTATGTGCCTGCCAGGGTAATACTTTTGAAAAAAGACATGTGGACATTCAAAAGCTATTTCTCGAGTCAAATATTTTTTTCTATCCCATAAGTTCAAGTGCCACATCCGATTCTATAGATGATACGACAACGACGGTTACAGATATTGCATCAAGAGCGGATTCAATACAAGAGCACATTAAAGAGAAAGCACTCGCAGATGAAGATTAGGTCCAAGTTCATGGTAAGGGCTGTTCTTATTCGATTAGTCTAGTGTTGTTATCTTTATGGTATTTGGCAGGGGCGAAATTGTCGTTTACACGGGGTTGATCCGAGGCAAGTTACTCAAGTTGTTCTGCACGTCAAGAGTACAAAGGTTATTCTCCCCTCTTATGTGCTTGAGGCTGCATGGGATTTATTATAGTTTCCTATCTGCTCATGTCGCAGATTGTTTTGATTGATCTATTTATTCTTTTGTGGTGTTTGTAGGTGCCGGTTTATTTGAGATCTCTTGTGTTTTGGTTGTACAGGGTTAGTCCTTTTGGATGAATCAAATCAACATTTATCTAAAAAAGAAAAACATTGTAAAAAAATAAATAAATCAAATTTCCGAATTTGCAATCAAACATCGGATATAATCTCAGCTTTTGAACTTATTGGAAGTTCGAAAATGTAATATAGAGTTTTTAAATAAATTTGGGGTGTTTGCACGGTAATATTTGTTTAAAGACTCTTAAGAGCTAACAACACATTCCTTAACCACTGATATCGTTTTGTTTGTACTAATAAAATAAAATATATTTTATTTAGTTTATAACTCAAGTTATTTAATACTATGTTATTTTAACGTAGAAAAATATTACTTGATTGAACTTGGACATTTAATTGATGTGATGATTATTACAACATTTAAATAATGTGAGTTGTTCTTTAGTTTAAGGAATTAATAAATCTAAATATTTTAAATGTAACTTTGATCCTGATGCAAGGCCATCGGAGAGCATTTTGCTTGTTTGCAGGCGTTTACAAGCAGAAATAATCACTGCTTTGGCTTCTCGGCAAGCAGTCTTGCGCTTCCAAACAAGACAGACGGTAGGTGCTGGAAGTTGGTTGGCTCCGATGAGAGACTGGTTCAAAATTAATACAGAAGGTGCTTGCCGACTTGAATTGAACTTAGCTGTGTGTGGTGGGTTTATTCGGGACCATGAAGGGGCTTGGCTTGTCGGTTTTACCAAGTCCATAGACAATTGTTCAGCTTGGGAGGCAGAGCTATGGGTTATTTTTGAGGGCATGCAATTGGCGTGGGATTTGGGGTTACGTCGGGTAATAGTGGAGACTGATTGCAAAGAGGCCATATCGGTGTTACAATCTAGGCTAGGGTCGGGGATGGGCTCCTCAATGTTTCTCAATATACAAGAGCTTGCGAAGCGTTCTTGGGATGTTCGTTTTGTGTTTGCTCCAAGAGAACATAACCGAGTGAATGGTTGCATGACGAAATTGGCGTGGAAATGGCCTTCCATATATTTCATTCGCCGCATGTGGAGGTGGGAGTAGCTTTCTTCGAAAATAACCAGGTAGGGATGTCAATGGATCGGATCTAGACTGGATCGAGTTAAACTTAGATTCGAACCTATTTTCACATCATGGATCCATGCCTGTGCCAGATCCGCAGGTCTAGAAATTGAAACCTAAATCCAGATCCAATGAAAATCTTGTGTATTTTCCCTTTCCAATAAAAAAAAGTTATTATTTAAAATTTATTTATGGAATTAAATTTATCACTTATAAGAGTAGTTGAATAGTTTGACTAGAGTTCAAACTTGCATTCTTATATAATTAATGTTTTAAACTACTTATAGTCATTATATCATTAAAGTATACATTTGAATTTACAGTATTCTAGATATTACAATAATAATAACGTCCGTTGAATTAAGATACATTCAATCTAATTTTATCAATCGACTAATCTTTTAAAGGATTTATATTTATTTATTATTTTAGATTATTTAATATAGACCATTTTCGTGTAAATTAAACCAATGATTAATATGAGTATCAAATTAGTTTAAAGAAAAATATAAATATAACATTTATCAAATTTAAATATCCACGGCATATTAAAAAAAAATTGAAATAAAAGATTATCGAGTTACGATGTATGTTACAGTGATTGTTCACCTTAACTTTTCATTAAGAGGTCAGAATTCAAATCATATTTTGTAATCAATTGTTTAGTTCTCTATGCAGCGAAAAGGGTTAATTACTACTACCTAAGTATTTTTTAAAAGGGTGAAATGACCATCCAACTCAGTTGGTAGAGCACAAGGTTCTTAATTTTGAGGTCGTGGGATCGAGCTCATGGAGGGTATTTCATAATTTGGAGGTCTCCTACGGAAGCTGCTCTCAACCTAGTGTTGGGGGCAGCCTACTATCTTACATCCCCCTTACCCCATTACATATGGGAACAAGGGACAATCATAAATATTTTTAAAAGGAAGAGGATCAAATTCAATACAAGTTGAAATAAAGAGAATAACTTTTAAATTCGAAAACTAGAGGGATTGAATTCTGAAATTAGACGCAACACTTTCCAACCCCACACGTATAGAACACACATGCCGGTGTGGCTACCGGCTTGAGCCGGACCACAAAAGTTGGCTTTTTGGTCCCGGTTATCACCCCGGTGAGACGTTTTACCCATAAAAATGATCATCAATATTTAAATAAAAATAGTGGTTAAAATGGTGTCTTATGCAAGAACATACTTGTATGAAGATAGAAGAGAAAGGTCGATCAAAATGGTACCAGATCAACATTTAATAAGTCACGTCAGTTTTTTTATCACATACAATAATCACTGTTAATGAATTTGTTAGAAATCGGTAGTAACTATTCGTATAGTTTATACTAAAAAAAAGCCCTGAAATTCACGCCACATGCACCCCAAATTCACCCCAATATATGACCGATCAACGAAAAGTCTCCATCTAACGGTCCAAACGCTGCCCGAAACTCAACCGGGCAGATATCATCGCCTTTAAGTAGCGACCCTATCCTACTGTCGTTCCTCGCTCATCAAAATTCAATGGGTTAAATTTTCAAACCCTAATCTTTGCGTAGATCATTGATTCTTTTTTCAAAAGAATATTTTCAGGTTCTTTTCCCTTGTTTTTGAATTGCTGGCAACATTCGTTAAGCGGCACGTGGAGTCCCGGCTCTATCGTCTTCATGGTTTTAGTTCCTCAGTACCGATCGGGATACTCTCGCTGGAACACTGCCGGTTCCCGGAATTTGAATGGCGTCGGTCGTTTTGGCGAATTGTAATGAGTCAAATTGGCCACTTCCGCTGAATACCAGTGTCGATTTCATGGGCAAAGTTCCATTTACAGCTAAAAACCCAATCCCTAACCCTAAATTCAGCAAGAAGCGTTATTTTCAGCACCGATTGATGCAGCCCGACGATGTTTCTGGCCGCGTTGTTGATGATCACCCCGCCGTTACCCATTCTGCGGCTTCGGATGATGCGTCGTCGATTAATCGTAAGATAAATGATTTCAGCTCTGGCAGTTACGTTAGTTTTCCCGTCAGCTCTTATACAAGGAAGGAGTTGATTGATCTGAAGAGCCGGTTGGCTTCAGAGCTGGAGCAGATACGTGAATTGAAGAATCGAATCCAGTCAAATGATTTTCAGGCTAGATCCAGCTCCACGAAGAAACCCTTACCCAAAAAGAACATTTCTGGCAACAAACGACCTTTGCCCCCAAATTCCAGCAAAGATTTGAGGAGATTGAACCCTCTAGAGAACGGAAAACCATCGAAGGCTTATTTGATGAAAAACTGCTCCCAAATCTTGAGCAAACTAATGAAGCACAAACATGGGTACATCTTCAATTCGCCAGTGGATGTGGTTGGGTTGGGGCTTCACGATTATTACGCTGTTATCAAGAATCCGATGGATCTGGGCACTGTTAAATCGAGGTTGGCCAAAAACTTTTATGCTTCTCCGTTGGATTTCTCGGCAGATGTCAGGCTGACATTCAAAAACGCCATGCTGTATAATCCGAAGGGGCATGAGGTTTATGCGTTGGCTGAGCAGCAGCTTTCGCGATTTGAGGATTTGTTTCGTCCATTGAGTTTGAAATTGGAGGAGCAAGATGATCCTCAAGAAATGGAGTATTACGAGGAAGAGTTGCAAGCTAGTTCTTGGGATCATGGGGAAGCTGAGAGGTTGAAGAAAGATAGGGAAATTGATAAGGATGATTCGATTAACATTGGGGCAAGATCTGATAAAGATGGGAGGATTTTGAGCTATGTTTCAAACTCCAATCCACCGCCAGCACAGGTGCAGTTGCAGCAGGAGCTTGCTTCTCCAGTAAGGGCGCCACCAGTTAAGCCAGTGAAGTTGCCTAAACCTAAGGCCAAGGATCCGAACAAGAGGGAAATGACTATGGAGGAGAAGCAAAAGTTGGGGATTGGACTGCAGAGCTTGCCACAGGAGAAGATGGACAATGTGGTTCATATTTTAAGGAAAAGGAATGGACACTTGACGCAGGATGGGGATGAGATTGAACTTGATATCGAGGCAATGGACACAGAGACTCTGTGGGAGTTGGATCGGTTTGTCACTTATTACAAAAAGATGGTCAGCAAGATCAAACGGCAAGCGTTGTTGTCAAACAATGTTGCATCCAATGACAGTAATCAGGTAAGCATGAAGTACATTGTGATTGCTGTATACAAATTTGATGGAATTGTATCTATCTATACACTAACTGGTGAATGGAAAATTATAGAGAGAAGAAACTGTGGAGAAGACGGATGTTGCAACGGAGATGAAGAGGTCGAAGAAAGCTGATGCTGGAGATGATGATGTAGATATTGGGGATGAAATGCCAATGAGCAGTTTTCCACCGGTGGAGATAGAGAAAGATAACGAACGCTGTAGTAGCAGTTCCAGTGGCTCCAGCAGTTCGAGCAGTGGTTCTTCATCGTCTAGTGGTATTACTCAACAGAATTCCATATCTTGGTGTGATGGTTCAAATTTTGAGGCAAATTTCTCATATTTGTAAGGCTAATTTTGTAGATTCGGAATCTGGGAGTTCACCAGGAAGCGATTCAGATGGTGATGATGCTCGATCATAAGGCCTCGGTTTGAAGTATGAGTTCATTACACGTTTTTGGAGCTTGTCAGCTGAGATTTTGGGGTGGAACTTAGGTAGATTTACTAACAATGCTAACAAATTAAGAAGTTAGGTATGGAGTCACTGCGTTAAATGCTGAATGTGTGGGCCTTTTTTTTCATTTTGTTGAATGTACAGGGTGGGTTGTTTAAGTGTATTGTGTGAGTTGTGTAATGGTTGTTCTCTTTCGAGGAAAGAAACGGACGAAATTGGAAAATGGGGGGCATCATCATTGCTAGAAGAATCATTGAAACTGTGGGCTTGGGCAAAATGTAGTAAAAAATAGTTGAGAGATTTGGTAGAAGATATTTTTGTAGGAAAAGTAGTTTTTTTTTGGGAGGGGGAAAGGTAGAAAGAACATTTGTATGCGTGGAACCACAATACATAGATTTTCAGCAGCAATAGTGAGGAATGTACAATTACAGAGCTTTTGCTTCTTTGACTGGTTGCTGGTACTTGCTAGCCATAAGATGTACGTTAGCCGTCTTAAAAGCAGTTTTTTTAGGTTTGCATGTACAAGTTTTCCTTGCTTTGACGGGATATTACGATTGCATCAAAATCCGAGTAACATGGGTTGTCCGTTAAGATTTTGGTCATATTTGGAATTTGGAAAGATGATTTGATAGATTCTAGAGGAGGAGAATTAGGGGGTATACCTGGAGTTGAACCCGAGGAGTAAGGATACCCGAACTCAGATTTTGATTCGGTATTTGGCTCTTATTACAATTGGTAGGGCTGTCATTTGTTGCATGTTTCTACTACTATTTGGATTTGATGAATGAGACATGATAAAACATGAACGAGGTTTGTGTATGGAACTTTCCTACATTTTACACATACATCTTGGGGCGTAATTAGGCCAATCTTAAGCATCACGAATGTTTCGTTGCCAATCGTAGTTTTATCTACCATCGGGTTTAGGTTTCATTTTGACGTATAATTATTTAAAGAAGTGTCATCACTTTTCCATCTGTTCTCGTCTTTGATTGCTTGAACAGTTGACATCTATTATAAGGTCAGCAAGTACAAACATAATAGATTTAGATGGCGATGGCAGTGACAGACTTGCAAGTCGAGGCGAGGAATCTTCCTGTTTCCAACCCATTTACATCTTCACCTTTGTAACAATGGGTGGAGACCACAAATGAAAAAAAAAAGAATTCACAATTGTAACAACGGTTTTACAAATTATTTTTAATAAACCTCGGATGTTGAACTTGGTAATTGTCGAATGAATTCGGACTCGGTCGATGAAATATATAATTGCACTAATAAATTTTATTTTGTTTCGACTATATATGATATTGCTTTATTAAGTCCTCAGAGTATTACAATCTACAAAATGATCCTCCGACTACAGGGAGTTGTTTTGTTGAGTCCCATGACTAGTTCAAGTTATAAAATGGTAACCTGACTATTCATTATGTTCTAAACTCGTCTTTTTTTCGTTACAAATTGACGACAGTCTGAACTGTATGTTAACATGCTGACTGAGATATGATAAAATTTGATCTCATAACCTCAAACGATTATCATATCTCAGTTAGCATGTTAATGTCTAACTCATATGACAATTAATTTTTAACGGAAAATGACGAGTTTCTAGATAATAAATAGTCGAGTGACTATTTGGTAACTTTTAATAGCCGAGTGGCTATTTGGTAACTTTTAATAGTCAACAGACTCAATAAAGCTACTATATATAGTCGAGGAACTATTTGATAATTATTAATAATCAATAGACTTAATAAAACAATATATTATAATCATGGGACTATTTGTGCACTTTACCCTAAAAATATCAATGTTAAATTAGGCATTTGTATGAAAATTTGCTTTATTCGACTTGACTTATTATTTGCTCATTCCTACAACGTAGGTATCAAAATAGGACAAAAAATAGGTACCAAGATGGGAAAAACATAATTGAAGGGTCAAATCATTAATTAGCATTTAAATTAATTAAGATACAAACATTTAAAACCACAGCCTGATCGTTTCACTAGTAGGTATTTTTCTTAAACACAGTTTTATTAGGGAGCTTATTTATAATCCGGATATAAGGGTAAAGTATATTGGAAGTCATTGAATTATGTGAAAATAATTTTTTTATCAATAACTTTTTAAATACTATAAGAGATCATTAAATTTTTTAAAAAGTTATAAAATAATCCATGTAATGTTAAAATAATAATAAATTTTGATAAGTTTAAAGATTATTTATTATAATTCAATAAATTTTATAATATTTTAAAATCACCAATTACAATTATTTTGACATAATTCAATTATCTCTAATATACTTTATACCAGTAGTAATTAGTGTTTTCAAGAATTGGTTTTTCATTTTTGGAAGGTTTATCATTTATGGTGGAGAATTTGGGCCATTGTTGTTTGACCCAAAATTTCATTTAGGCTATCAACCCAAAGATCAAGAAGACCTTCTAAATCAAATCCGCTACGGCGTTGTAAACCACGTTTTTCACCGAGATCAGGCAATTCACAGCCACTTTGTAGCGATTTTTAATCTTCTTGCTCTCAAATCGCTCTCAAAACCAATCACTCTTCGAGGAGGAAGAAGAAAAAAAGCCAGAGAAATGGAAAAGCTGAAGAAGAAAATAAGATCGTTTTCATTTTGGAATTGGGTGATAGCTTCGATCATCTTCAGATTGATTCTAATCTACTTCCCCAAGAACCTCAATCTGTCCCGAAGTTTCCACTCCGCTTACCAGCTTCCGCCGCTGTAATTTCCTGTCCTTTACAGGGTACTGGCAATGCAAATTTCTACTTCGCAATCGCTACGGTTTATGCTTGCTTGCAGGTAAGTTATTTCTATTCTCCGATTCATTATTTTTTTAATCTGTAACTTGATATCAGGTTGTCAAAAACGGAACTTTGATGTAAACAGATTAGCTTCCTTGGTATTTGCGAATGACATTTGTGGTAGCTTATCGAGGAAAAAGTCGTATATTTATCGAATTCCTACCCATTTTTTTCACAATTCAACCATTTAAATGACTTGTATGGACATGTTCAACTTTATTTAATGCTTGTTATTGGTGCAAACAAGTAAATTCGATAACAGCAATAACGAAAAACCCGATATTCATGTTTGAACTTGCCATTTTCGAGAATTTGGAGCCAATTTCGATAATTGATTCTATCCCTTACTTTGGCCTTGTTTTGCAGATTGTCTTGGTCGTCGAGGGTGTAAGTGCCATGTTAAACCATGACAGAAAGTTGAGAAGCCAAATCCCCGACAAGCCCCGAGATGCCAAATCTTGAGTTCTTTAGACTATGCCGCACATTTTTCCGGTTCTACCGCGAAGATTCTTCCCGGCAGGTTGCTGCCACAGTATCTTTGCTCTCAGCACTGTTGTTTTTGCATCAAGATCATGCTCACCTCCACGGCATGGGGCTCTTCGGAACTGATCCTACATTCATTGTTTGTTTCGCATGGATGGTTGTGATAACCTGAAAGTATTGAGAATTTTCTATCACCATTAAAGTTGTCAAAATTCCTTCTAAATTGTTGTTAAACCTTCAACTTTAAAATGGGAAGTTTGATTCAGTAACATGTTAAAAATGGTAAATTTATAATTTGACTCAAAAACTCGAGACAAAATATCATTCGACTCCAGAACTCTCTCGAGTCTTGACCTCTCTTTTTATCTAATTATATTTCATACGGAGTCCTGTTACCCTTCGAAACACAACAATAATGAACTGTATTCTGAATCGATCCCATCGTAGCTCAAACCTTCTTCGAACTCGAATAAGGTTTTGGGACAAAGCTCCCAAGAAAAGCAACCTTCAAATTTCTAACTCGAATAAAGCTTTCGATTTCAAATCTGAAGTTGTCAATAATCTAGGCAATGAAGATGAGGCAAAACAAAGAGACGAATTAAGTCATCGAGGATGGAAATTAACACCTGGAAGAACACAATTAAGTCCTCAGCAACAATGTCGAAAGCCTCGAGAAAATACCAACATAGATCTTCTGCCAAGTACTGAAAGTCAACAATGAAGTTCCTCATGCCTGTAACTTTCTGAATACAATCAGTCAATCACATATAATCAATCATAATATCATTCAAAATCCAATAGAGTTCAGGGATTAAAAGATAAATTAAAGTCAAATTTCAAAATCTGTACTCTTGCAAACCCCGACAGACTCTTAAAACTCAATTATTTAAACAAATAATTAAAAAAACACAGTGAATCGGTGTCATACAAAGGTAAAAAAACCCCAGAAATAATCAATCAAAATCAAAAGATCAACTTAATTTCAAACATCATAGAACAATCAAACTGAAAAAATGTTTTGATCTTTTCAGTCATTTTTTTTGTTTCTAAGCAACAGTCAAGTAAAACAATTGAAAGGGTATTTCTTTCAGTAACCAGAGTCATAATTTGGTTACCTGTGAACAAGATCTTCAGGAAAATCTGGGAAAATATTGAATCTTTGACATGAATAAATAGAGAAGGGAAAACCAGATAGGCCTCGAGGGAGTCGAAACATGATGAAAGAGAGACTTTATTGCTTTAAACACACAAAAATATGGGGAAGTATTTTAAACTTGTATGAGTGTCGTAATGGATTATGATTTGATGATTTCTTTTCACTTTTCTCGACTGCTTCAGACGATGTCGTGTTTCTCTGTAGAACTCAAAAAGAGTACAAAAATATAGAGAGAGATAAAGATCCGACGTCGTTGAGTCATGTATAAGGAGTAATATGGTTATCTGCCCCGAAATATTTATTTTACAAAATTTTCATTCGAATTCACAATTATTTTTGGATATTTCAATAAAAATATTTTAATTATATTGATATTATTTGACTCTAACGAGTATAGATAGTAAACATAAATTGTTAGTCTAATAGGACTCTTAATACTACTCTGAAAGTAGTCTATTTGAATCACTTTATTATTAAAAGAGACTTTATAAGTTAAAAAAGGTGATTATTTTTATAAAACATATCAATACTAGTTTGATTGAACATCGATCCCAACATATTGTAAAAGAAATTTTAGATTCTTAGAAACAGTAACGAAGGATGCCATCACAGCTCTGTTTACTTTCTGGAAAAATTCACCAAATTACCGACAATGACTAATCAGTTTTGTTGAGATTCCCATTGTGAACCAAGTACGACGCCTGTATGCCAACTGCATGTCGTATACATGATTCGAAACATAATATATTATTTGTCATAGATTCATATGGGAATGAATTTCCTAACATGCAAGCGAAGGATTACAATGTCCAAGACAAAGAGGAGTCTAGGCACAACTGTATGAGGGCGGACGATTGTGACTATAGAGAAAGGACTAGATATCCGCCAACTATTGTCATTGCGATCACAAAAAATCTGCAAAATAAATTCAATATGTCCGTATATCTCGTTATAATCTATACTTTCTTCACCTGTATATATGATCAAAATGTATGTATGTTAATAGTAATCAACTACATAAATGTGGGAAGATCATCATAACTGACTTCAAACCGGAAGAAAAATGAAGAAAGGAGGAGTTTTATCACTAGTTCCTATGATATCAGCAGCTAAAGCTACAATAATGGCTCTTAATTTAAAAGAAAGTCGGCAATCCTTTCTTGAATCCACTCTTTTGCTCTCTGGCAGTCGCAATGATAATAAAACTGGTAGAATATTAATGTTGGTTATGTATTGGTATCATTCTTCTGTTTAACAATCTAGACCAGGCAACAAGTAAGAATATAAATTCCCATGCGCAATACTCTACCATGGGAATTACTTGAACTACTTACACATCCAAAATTCATTCAACATATAAACTGGCAACCTCAATGTTATCTTAGGCCAAACATTTCACTTTCTTTTTTGGTCTTTGCTCCATCAAATAAAAACTGTCTATCTTTTCTCCAAAATCATGGACTTGTCGGTTATTTCCTCCGTCCTCCAGACAATCGGGGGGCTTCTAACCAAGGAAGTTACATGGTTGTGGGGCGTGAAGGACCAAGTCGAGGATTTGCAGAGGGAGCTGATATGGATGCAAAGCTTCCTGAAAAAGGCATATGCGATGAAACTCGATGATGAAGTTGTGCGCACGCATGTCGCTGAAATCATAGAGTTGGCCTACAAAAAAGTTTAGGTTAGGGCCGACTCTTCTAGTACAGGGTCGATGTGTACTTAAGACCTAATTAGGATTTACATAGGAATTTACAGATTATCCACAAAAAATGACGGTAGTAGGAAATAGGAATATATGCGTAACTTGCAACGTACAGAATAGGTTGAACTTATTTTTAAACTAAATTCTTTAGCATTCTAACACAATGTTATAGTGGTATTTATTTTATTTGTAATCCGAATAAATTAACATATATCGTACAAATAATAATATTCTTATTCAAATAATTAGATGGAATATATCATTATTTGTCTTTGGCATCACTAGAAAATATATTACATTGTTTTATTATTATTACTAATCTTTGTGTTTTCGGTTGAAAATTAATTTCTAGCATATGATTCTTTGGTAGGAGTATCTATTCTACAAATGAATGGATATGGATAGCGATACTACATATCTATGCAAGCATTAATGTCGGTTATAATGTGATTATTCTACGATATCAATCATGTTTTAAGATAATCGATAAATTAAATGTGAATATTATCTGAATATATCCCCAATTAATTTGAATATACTCTATAACAAATAATTTTACAATTTTTTTTAAAGAGTCTGGAAAATTTTAACAAAAATTATTTATATATCATTTACAAGTGTGATTATAATTATAAATATACAGTAATTAAAAGAAGATAAAAGGGTATTGTTGCTCCTGTAATAAATCTAATTTATTATTTTTGCCCTTAATTTGACCCTCGAGTCTATGATGTTCATCCTAGCCCTTGAAATCAATTTCAATTAATAGAAAAATTAGTCTTATGCATTTTTCAATACCAACAATTTTCAGATTAGACAAACATTATTGACTTGGCTTGATGATAATGTGATATTTATTAAAAAAAAAATAATAAAATATTTACTAAATATAACGGTTAAAAAATCCCTAAAAATATGACCTAATCCCTTATTCTTACCGAAATAAATTAATAAAATTTTGAGAATTTATTAAAATCAGCACATTTAAAAAATATTTTAACATAATCCCTTAATCCACAGATGCAAAAATCTCACATTACTGTTCTGTTAGTAAAAAAACCAACGGACTTTGAGGGTTATAATGAACCTATAGACAACTTTAAGGATTAAATTGATAAAAAAAATCGATAGAAACAAAAATGATAAGTTAAATTTACTTCAAGAACCGACCTTAAAAGAATGGATCCATATATAAAGTTTTTTGTTTTTTGTTAACACAAGTTCCATCAAACAATATAACAAGAAAGACAAAGAGATCAACAAAACTAGAAAAAGGATAAATTTTCTGTTCTTTTTTATTTTACATTATAATCATAATAGAGTAGTCTAAAAGATTGTAATTGTCTGGAAAAGAAAATTATGAAAAATAAGGAAACTTTTTTTAAGGTGAAAGGGAGAGGGAGACTGGTGAAAGAGAAGAAATAAAAGCAAGTGGACGAGTTGTTCAGCAAGTTGAGAACAACACAACAAGGTCCGTACCCATTCAAGAAAACATTCGAGTTGTTCATCAATGACGTTTTCCACTTCGGGTCGTTCTTTGACCACGTTTTAAAGTAATGGAACTAGAGTTTAGAATTCCCCAACAAAGAGTTGTCTTTGAAATAAGAAGACATTAAAGAAACCCTAAACAGGTGAAGAAACTAACATCGTTCATGGGGAACCATTTGTTAATGATAAGGAGGTTGAAGATGTTATATGGCAGTGTAACTTAGAAAAGTTGAAGAACATGGAAGTGAACAAAAATGGCGTGGATCCTTGGGTGGGGATGTAAAACAGTGCGTAGGAGATAACGTTTGGAGGAAGAGGAGGATGAGGGGGAGGAGAAGAATAAGAAGAAGTCAACGTTTGAACAAAGACAGGTAGGTTTTTTTTCAAATTTTTTTTTATCATTTTCGTTGTTTAAAAAAAGGATGACACATGTCACTATCTAATTGATGCGAATTAATAATATAAAAATATAAATAATAATTTTTAAAAAATAATGTGATAGTGTCAAACGTTAAAATTATTTTATTGCCCTAAATAAAAAACGAAACCAGAAAGCAACAGTAACCCCAAATTTCAACCAAATTCCCCCGCTGTTGCAGAGAAATTTTTTTTTAAACAAACGACCCACCATTAAAGCTCTCAATAAAAGAGCTTAATTCTACGCGGTGGATCTGATTATAGGTTCTGAGATTCACTCCTTTTCCCCTTTTGATTATATATATATAAAGGCTCTCCTTTTATTTTTTTAAAAGTCGGTCAAAGTACAAACTCATCTCGAAAACATTTATCTTCTCCCTACTTTGCTTCTTCGTTTTTTTCTTTCGTGTAATTGTTAGTGTTATTGATACTAGTATCGATCCATGTCGGTTTCGGGTATCCATGGACATATTCTTGAGGTTACCGGTACGGAAAGTTTCATAAAACTGGACTTGTTTTTGCTTTATATTGGGTAATTCGTGATTTTTATTTTTATTTTAATGTTGGGTTTCTTTTGTTTTTATCGATCGAAGTCATTGGATGCAACAAATTGAAGGATACTGAGTGGATTTCAAGGCAGGATCCTTATGTCTGTGTTGAATATGGGAGCACCAAGTGCCGTACAAGAACTTGCACCGGTAATCACTAATTATCTCTCTCGGCATGTAACTATTTCCCCCCTTTAGGGTTCTTGATCTGTGATTTGGGATCGAATTCAAATTTTAACATCTTTGTTTTGATTTATGATTTGGGTTTCTTTTAGACGGTGGCAAAGCGCCTGTATTCCAAGAGAGGTTCACTTTCACTTTGATTGAAGGGCTCAGAGAGATCAATGTTGTGGTTTGGAACAGCAATACTTTGACTTTTGATGATTTTATTGGCAGTGAAAAGTAAGAAACTAGGGATTATAAGGTTTTGAAATGTTTACTTTTTTGCTTTTTTGAGAAGATATGTTCTTATTGGGTTTTGATTCTAATGTTTGGCCTTTTTATAGGGTTCAATTGAACAAGGTTCTTTCCCAGGGCTTTGATGATGCTCCTTGGCCACTCCAGACAAAAACCGGCAGGTAACGAATGGTTTCTTTTATAACATGTATCGTAATAAGACTGTGTTTCCATGAATAATCTGATGGAACTCGAAATTGATGTTTCTGCTATCTTAAAAGTTCGATCTTTCAATCTATATTTCCTCGATCTCGTAAATTTGATCATATGGCAATCACTTTGAATGGTTAGGAATATCGGTATGAAACTCCATTTCTAGTTTGTCTGGAGCTTACCTAGATCTTACAATTGCAAATAATGTGGGGAAGAGATTCGGTTCTTGTAGCCATGTACGCATTTTTGGTTTGTAGTTGTTTGTAAGATGGCATAGTTTAGGCTTTTGACAAATTAATCGGTTCGTTATAACTTCAAGCTATGCTCTGCTCGACTTTTTGAGGTTTAATTGATTTTTGTTGATAGCAGTTGTGTTTCTTGAAACCTTATGTCAGTCAGTAAGAAAGTCGGTGTGAAGTTCAGTTATCGGCTTAAACCAGTTTGTTTGACATGGAAACATGAAGCTAAGTTTAGAAAGTTACCAAATAAATCAAATTTCGTTTTGACTTTTAACTTGCCAAGCAAGTTCGTGTCATATTCTCTGCTTCCGGATTGCAAGAACTATTTTCTGTTTTCTATGTTGCAATCTTTCATCATCTATGGTCTCTTACTCTTTTCATGTTTGCAGATATGCTGGAGAAGTGCGGCTCATAATGCATTATGCAAATGCCAAGGTAAGCCTGATCTATTGTGCTTCAATTCGTGATCTTCTTTAACATTATTTGAGCAAGTGGGAACTAAATGGTTATTTGAATTGTTGCAGCACCAAGCCTCAGCATATGCTCCAACAGCACCACCATATGCAGCTCCTCCTCCTCCGCAAGTTCCTCAATATTCCGTACCTCCGCCAACTTATTCAGCTTCTTACCCACCACCAGCTACAACATATCCGACTTCATCAGCATATCCATCATATCCTTCATTCGCATATCCTCCTCCACCTTCTGCATACCCTCCTCCGCCTTCTGCATACCCTCCACCACCGGCGCCTTCATCATATCCCCAATCTACATACCCACCGCCTTCATCATATCCCCCGTCTGCATATCCACCGCCGTCATCGTATCCCCCATCTACATACCCGCCCCCTTCATCATATCCTCCAGGTAACTTCATACATTTTATATATTTCAATGTTACTATTCACATATCAAATATAGTGATGCAGTTTGGTTCTGTTATGCTTTCAAACAGGTCCTTTTCCAGGTCTTTATCCCCTACCACCGTACTAAAACTATCGGCATGGAGACAGTTGAAGTTCCTAATGTTTGAAACTCCTCGGATTATTGTTTGAATCTCTTCGGAAACAAAAAATTGGAACATGATAGCCATTGTATAGCTCGAACTGTTTATAAATTTCAGTTTGCGGAATGTTTTTGGGTATTTTTTAATGGTTCAATTCTTTATCCCCCACCATCGTACCTATCTAATGGTCGAGTTCGAAGGATCAAACAGTATTTTGGACCATAGATATGTGTTGATAACAAGTACTTCTAAGAAAAATTAAAAGTCCGACTAATATAATTGATGACAAAATCTCTAGAATAACAGTCGAAGACGAAACTAGAATAACGACACTCGACTACGAGATAATTAGAATTATAACAGAAGAACACGAGATCTCTAGAATAACAACAGTGAACAAATTATGTTACTTGAATGATCATTTGATGAGGATGCAACTAGAATTATAACAGTCGAACACGAGATCTCTAGAATAATAACAGTGAACAAATTATGTTACTTGAATGATCATTTGATGAGGATGCAACTAGAATTATAACAGTCGAACACGAGATCTCTAGAATAACAACAGTGAACAAATTATGTCACTTGTATGATCATTGTAGAGTCATGTCATGATCGATTTGAACCTTAAACATATATATATTTTTTTTGATAAGAATGACAGGCCTCCTTAAAAACCTCCTTCTTGATCAAAGGAGGAAAAGAGTGCCTTAAACATATATATGAATGCACTTTAATAATTTCGTAGGGTGCATTCATATATGTACTATGTTTCTGGTTCGAAAACGTATCCAAGGGTTGCAAAACTTCCCATATTCAATAACCATGTAATATGCAAAAATACTTAAAAGTGAAGAGTCCGACTTTGAAAACTTATCTGAAGAGTCCGACTTTGAAAACCTATCCCAACTCCTTAAGACACAAAGGATAAACTTAAGATTTAGTCCCTATATTTTAATTTGGCATGATTTACATCCTCTACTTTTATAAGGTGATCATTAGTTGGTACAAATAGTTAATACCATTAACTATACTAATAAAAATGCTTACGTAGATTTGCTAAGAGAAACACCTCTTCCAATTCATTACGTGGACATTAATCCTATTTTATTTTCCTTGTGTGTGTGATGGAAGGTGTATTTCTAAAAAAAAAGTTCACATCGGCATTTTAATTGAAAATCAAACTATTTTGACCAGCTAATGATGTTATAAACGTATAGGGATTAAATTGTCAAATTAAAGCATAGAAAGATTAAATCTCAAGGTTGATCATAGTAGAGGGCCCAAAACTATAATTTGACCACATATAGAAGTTATAAAGTTATTTGATGTTCAAGAGCAAGTTCCTTACCCTCCCTTCAAAGAACTCAAGATGAGCTGGAACCAAATGATCATAGCTTGCAGCAGATAAGAAATCGATTCCTGCATTTCCACAGCAATTGAATTCGTCGCTATCATTACTTATTTCGCAAGGAAGCATACATAGAACCACCAAGCACAAATCAGAAATCGAGTAATTGAGAGCTCGAGACATTGCTTGTTTGGCTCGTCCACTATGACTACTTATTTCGCAACCAAACAAACAAAGTCCAGGGTGAAATCTAGCAATGAAGTTAAAAATGTAGCTCAGATCTCTTTTACCCTAAGCCCTCCATCTTAGTTTCCAACCGTAACTCAGCAAGACAAAGACGTGAAACTTCATGGATACTTCAAATAAATGAAAATTAAAAAAAGAATCAATATATATACGTATCCGGCACTCATGCCGAAATTTGAGTGACGTGTCTCTTACCTACAAGTTTGATGTCAGTGTTCTTTACCAACCATCTTGCCCCGTCTGTTGTAAATCCAACATAGCTTGAATCAAATTCCCTTTTAAACATAAGCTGCCTGAAATTGAAATTTTATGTTTAAATCTCACATAAATTTTTCATGATTGATGATGGATTTCTTTAGTTATTTACTAGTTTGTTCACAAGTTCGTTCGAGTTAATAACTTGCGCTATTTGGACTTCTCATTTTTCTTAAATTACTTGAGACTCCACCGATGTCCAACAAAAATGCAAATATAGGTAATGAAGTATGATCTTCGAAATATGTGAAGGAACATAGAAATAAATTGAGTGTACTCGTACTCGATACATACTCGTAATGATACCTGACGTTAAATCAGGGTAACTTCTAAATTACTCGATACTCAACATCAAATATAGGAAACATAGCATGTAACTTCCTAAATTACTCATGTTCTCATCTGAGTCCAACTCATTCAAATATAAGTAGGATCCTCCAAAGATATGAAGAAAAACATAGAAATAAATCTAGTTTACCTTATTACATGCATGATATTCATATTGATATTCAACATCCAAATCCGAGTAACACAGCATATAACTTCCTAAATCACTCGTGCTGTCAATCTATGTCCAACACATTCAAATATAAGTATGATCCTCCAAAGATACAAAGAAATTACTGTGTGTAACTTACTAGATACTCGCATCGATATACACCATCAAACCCAGGTAACATTAACATAGCAATGTAATTTCCTAAATCACTCTATGTCCAACACATTCAGATACGGATAATATCCTCCAAAGATGTGAAGAAACATAGAAATAAATTGAATGTAATCATACTCAACACGTACTAGTATCTATACTCACCATCAACTCTGAGCAACACAGAATGTAATTAAGTGTTTCAGTTTTGAATTAATCACGATACCTGTCAGTATTCAGTGTCCTAAAAAGAACACGGCACACCCCTTTAGGAATATTCAACGACTTCATCACTTGGGCTGCAACAAATTAAGAACAAAACAGAAGATTATTAGTTACTATCAGATCATACACAAAGCCTAATAATTGAACTTGGTGTTGGAGATCAATACCGGTTATATTACTATTCCTTGGCACATCGACTAACAGAGCTGGCCCTGCGGAATCAAACATTTTACAGGAGCTGAGAATGTTGGGGAAAACGGGTTATTTCCCACACGAACGTAGTTTTAAAATTGACCTAAAATGTCAAGATTAAAACCACCAAATGTTGCACAACGGATAAACCTGTCAAACTATTGAATATTGAAACACAATGGAAAAGAACCGAATAAAAAACAATAAAGGAGAGAACATACCAAATTTACGAGGTTCGACAAGAATATCGTCTACTCCTCGGGCACCACACCGGATGATAACTTCACTATATCGCCAATATTACAACAAATGAAATTCTTTAGAATTCCCAAAGTGGGAGAATGAAGAATACAAGAGGAAGAGAGAACTTGTTTTTGGGATAATTTCTAATAGAAATACTTAGGCCTATTTATAGTTGAGTTTCAAGAACAATATGTTCAAAGTTTGGCCACCTACCAAAGAATTTTCCAATGTGTACAAGTTAGCCACCAAATATGAAATTCACATGTTCAAAGTTTGGTCACCAACCAAGATGAAATTTCCAATAAATTGGCCACCAACCAAGATGAAATTTCCAACTTGTCAACTTAATTTCTAAACAAATCTAACAAATCTCCACCTTGACTTGAAATTACCAAGCCTACTCAACTTCTTCAACTCCCCAAATTTGTAGTGCCTCTAATTGCGCTCACAAGCGCCACACACCCGAAGGTGTTCATACTTTCAGGATGTTAATCAAGTTCAAACAATGATTGAACTTGATTACTGTTACCACCTTGGTCATCATATCTGCAGGATTTTCTGATGTCGTAATTTTCTGAAGTAGAATCTTTCCTTCTTCAAAGATCTCCCGCACAAAGTGATACCTCACGTCGATATACTTAGTCCTTGAATGGTAGACTTGATTTTTCGCTAAGTGAATAGCGCTCTGATTGTCACAATAGAGACTAATGTGACTTTGAATAACTCCCAAGTCTTCCATCAACCCGTTAAGCCAAATTGCTTCCTTTACAGCCTCTGAAACTGCCATGTATTCTGCCTCTGTAGTAGACAAGGCCACCGTAGATTGCAATGTAGACTTCCAACTTACTGGGACTTTAGCAAGAGTAAACAAATACCAGTAGTTGATCGACGCTTATCCAAATCACCAACATAATCAGAATCAACATATCCAACCATACACTGACCAAGTACTTCATCCTGTTCAAAAACTAAACTAGCATCCACGGTTTGTTAGAGATACCGTAGAATCCATTTCACAGCTTGCCAATGTCCTTCTCCAGGATCATGCATGTACCTGCTCACAACTCCAACTGCTTGTGAAATGTCAAGACGCGTACACACCATTGCATACATCAAGCTCCCAACTGCATTAGCATATGGAACTTTTGCCATATACACTCGTTCTTCATTAGTTTTAGGAGATAATTGAGAACTAAGTTTCAAATGAGAAGCCAATGGGATACTTACATGTTTGGTATTTTCATTCATGCCAAAACATTGTAATACCTTTCTCAGATACTGCTTCTGTGTTAAACAAAGCTTCCCTCTCTGTCTATCTCTGCTTATCTCCATACCAAGAATCTTCTTGGCCTCACCTAGATCTTTCATCTCAAACTCTTGATTCAACTGAGCCTTTAATTTGTCTATCTCCTTTTGACTCTTCGAAGCGATCAACATATCGTCAACGAACAAGAGAAGATAAATGAAAGATCCATCTTTGAGCTTTTGCAAATACACACAATGATCATATTTGCTTCTAGTATACTTTTGCCTCCTCATAAAGCTATCAAATCGCTTGTACCACTGCCTCGGAGATTGCTTCAATCCATATAACGATTTGTTCAGCTTACAAACCCATTTCTCACAACCACCATCTTTGTATCCTTCTGGCTGTGTCATATAGATCTCCTCTTCTAAATCACCGTGCAAGAAAGCCGTCTTTACATCAAGTTAAGCTAGTTCCAAATTCAACTGTGCTACCAAGGCCAACAATATTCTAATGGAGGAATGCTTCACAACAGGGGGAAATACTTCATTGTAGTCGATTCCCTCCTTTTGAGCGTAGCCTTTAGCTACCAACCGTGCCTTGTAGCGAACATCTTTCTTGTTATGAGATCCATCTTTCTTGTTATGAGATACATCTTTCTTTACAAATACCCACTTGCATCCAATGGCTCTTTTACCTTTCGGTAATTGTGCCAGTTTTCAAGTGTCGTTCTTTTGGAGAGATTGCATTTCTTCATCCATGACACTTTTCCACTTATAACTTTCCAAACTTTGTATTGCTTCTTGGTAATCATCATCAACAACTGGAAGAGCATAGGCCACCATATCAACAAATCGAGCAGGTCTACGAATTTCTCTCATTGGCCTTGTAACTGTAAGTGTTTCTGGTGTCTCCAATGGTTCTTGGGTTTGAACTTCTTCATCTTCTGATTCTTCTATTGGAGTTGAAGAATCAGCTACATCAACTTCTGGGATCATCATCTGCTGAAACTCCACCTGTTTTGGAGTATGCTCCACCTCCACCTGCTGCGGAGTACTACTTGTCTGGACAGCTTCACTTGTTACATTCTTTACTAGGGCAGATTCATCAAAGGTAACATCTTTGCTACAAATTACCTTCTTGGTGTCTAAATACCAAAGGCGGAATCCCTTCACTCCATGGGTGATTCCCATAAAGAGAGCCTTCTTTGCTCTCGGATCAAGCTTGGATTCCTTCACATGATAATAAGCAGTGGATCCAAATACATGTAAAGAATCATAATCAGTAGCAGGTTTTCCAGACCATACCTCCAATGGTGTTTTTCCTCCTATTGCTGATGACGGCAGACGATTGATGAGATGGCCAGCATATGTCACAGCCTCAGCCCAAAATGCCTTGCCTAACCCAGCATTAGACAATATACAACGAACTTTCTCCAATAGTGTTCGATTCATACGCTCTGCCACCCCATTCTGTTGTGGTGTATGTCTAACAGTGAAGCGTCGAACAATACCATACTCATGGCAAACGTCAAAGAATGGGTCACTTTTATATTCCCCTCCATTGTCTGTCCTAAGACGTTTGATCTTTCTACCAGTCTGGTTCTCGATCATATTTTTCCATTTCAGGAAAATTTAAAGCACTTCATCTTTAGACTTCATCGGATACACCCAAACTCTTCTGGAAAAGTCATCTACAAAAGTTACAAAATAATGGTTTCCTCCCAAAGACGATGTCTTTGAAGGACCCCATACATCTGAGTGAATATAATCTACAATACCTTTTGTATTATGTATAGTGGTGCCAAACTTCACTCTCTTCTGCTTTCCCAGAACACAATGCTCGCAAAAGTTCAATTTGCAAGCCTTTGCACCTTTCAACAATCTTTTCTTTGTCAGAATTTGCAAGGATTTCTCTTCAGCATGTCTCAACCGCATATGCCACAACTGGGTTGCGTCCAAATCATCACCTCCGGAAGCTGCTGCAACTGCTCCAATAATTGTACTACCTTAGTAGTAATACAAATTATTTTTCCTGATGCCCTTCATCATCACAAGTGCGCCATATGTGACTTTTAAAACTCCATCTCTCATAGTGACTACTGAGCCTTTGGATTCTAAGGCTCCCAACGAGATGATATTTTTCTTCAAACTGGACATGTATCGGACATCCGTCAGAATTCTGGTTGATCCATATTGATTCTTCAATCAAATTGAACCTATCCCAACAGTTTTACAGGCATTGTCATTGCCCATATAAACAACTCCTGCATTTAGTTCCACTAAATCGAAGAACCACTCCCGATTAGGGGACATATGATAGGTGCAACCCGAATCTAATATCCACTCATCAGAATGGAATGTTGTTGATGAAGCAACCAATGATATGTCAGAGTCATGTGCATCATGCTCTGCAACACATGCATCTAGAGCAGCTTTTCCTTTCTTCTTAAGCTTCGGACAATCTTTCTTCCAATGGCCTTTCCCATGACAAAAGACACATTCATCTTTTCCCAGTCTGGACTTCGACTTTGATCTCCCTCTCCACTTTGGCTTTTGACTTTTCGAGCGACCTCTTGCCACCATGGCCTCTGCTGCTTCGTACTTGCTCTCCTTCTTGGTTTTCTTCCTGAGTTCATAACTATACAAAGCAACAGTTACATCTTTAAGGGTAACAATATCCTTACCATGAAGTAACGTTGTCTCAAGGTGTTCAAATTCATCTGGAAGAGATTACAACAACATCAAAGCCAAATCTTCATCTTTGAAGGTTTCATCCATGCCCAATAAGTCTTCCACTAGCTCATTGAACGCAGTGATGTGTTCATTCATACTGGTGCCTGGTTGATAATCAAATCTGAACAATCTTTTCTTCATGTGGAGACGATTCTGAGAGCTTTTTTTCAGGAATTTTTCCTCCAAAGCTTTCCACATCTTACTTGCAGAAGTCTCGTTCTTGCAGCCATACTTCTACTCCCTGGAAAGACAAGATCGAATCGTGCTGCACGCCAAACGATTGATTGTTCCCCATTCTTTCTCCTCCATATATTCGGACTTTTCTTCCTCAATGGCGATGTCTAGACCTTGTTGGAATAAAGCGTCTAACACCTCGCCTTGTCACATGCCAAAATGACCGGATCCATCGAACAACTCATCCGAGAAATTTGCATTTGACATCACCCTCCTCACCGGTCCATATGAAGAGCTTGATGCCTCAACTGATCCGTATTTTAGCATTTTAATTCTAACGAACAATATTCAATATCACGAACTGTATCTTTTCAGCGACGGAACCACCAGGATAACCTCAACTGAACCTCTGATACCAATTGTTGGGGAAAACGGGTTATTTCCCACACGAACGTAGTTTTAAAATTGACCTAAAATGTCAAGATTAAAACCATCAAAAGTTGCACAGCGGATAAACCTATCAAACTATTGAATATTGAAACACAATGAAAAAGAACCGAATAAAAAACAATAAAGGAGAGAACACACCAAATTTACGAGGTTCGACAAGAATATCGTCTACTCCTCGGGCACCACACCGGATGATAACTTCACTATATCGCCAATATTACAACAAATGGAATTCTTTAAAATTCTCAAAGTGAGAGAATGAAGAATACAAGAGGAAGAGAGAACTTGTTTTTGGGATAATTTCTAATGGAAATACTTAGGTCTATTTATAGTTGAGTTTCAAGAACAATATGTTCAATGTTTGGCCACCTACCAAAGAATTTTCCAATGTGTACAAGTTAGCCACCAAATATGAAATTCACATGTTCAAAATTTGGCCACCAACCAAGATGAAATTTCCAATAAGTTGGCCACCAACCAAGATGAAATTTCCAACTTGTCAACTTAATTTCTAGACAAATCTAACAGAGAACTTAGTCCCCTACTTTAATTTGTCAGAATTCGATTCTTATAAAACCGAGAAGCTAATCCATTCAGATAAAATTGTTAAACGTTGTCATTAAATAGTTGATATTAAAAACCAGCAGCTCAACTATTTATATGCAAGGAATTAGTAGAAGTTAACAGCTCAATTTCATATATCTGCAGATAACTAAACTAGTTTCTGAGTTTTGCTATGTACGAAGATCATGTGGGTGTTAAAATAAGAGATGAAAGTGACAATTAAACAGTGATAAAAAGTATAAGACTAGAAATGATCAAATTATAGAAGCACTAAATCGCTAAAAACTTTTAGTACGAGGATCTTCTATACAATTTGACCTCAGAAAAGAAGCTCAACAATGGCAATGGCTGTTTAGTTTACCGTTAAGGACTTCAAGGTCAAGGGTGTCGACATCTAACCCGGAATCGAAGTACCGGTCAATCATATGACCCGGCGCGTCGACGTGGGTGCCAGTGTGAACCGACACAAATTTTATCAGGGAATTATTGGCCCGGGAGCCATTCTTCATGCTGGCCGGAAGCCAAAGGACTGATAGTTTAGATACTAAACGCGTTAAGTTTTTATTGAAGGGGTTCTCAAATGAAATGAAAACTAAATATTAGGTATGATTTTGAAAAATTGAAAACTTAGGTACTAAAACAGATCAAAACTGATAGTTTAGGTGCTAAATGCATAGTTTTCCCAATTTTTCATGTATGTCATTCTGGAATTAGAAGGTAGAGATTAAATCAACCGAGTGATCCGATCCGTGAAAGATACGATTGTTGTCTTAGAAGTGTAAAATCCAATCTTCATTGTGTTTTGTTGTCTTCAAGGGCTGCAATCTAAATGTTGTTTAAACTCCAGTCCAGCTAGCATGGCAAACAAAATAAAGTCCGGCGAACCACATCGACTCAAAGACGACGACATAATGAAGCTACATTTATTTGACTAGACTAATACCTTGATACTCTAATCTAGTCCAAACTGAAGCTAAAAACTCAACATCGACTCCAAGAAGCAAAAGGAACAACATAATCGAGACAACATGAGCCCTGTTTTTTAAGAGTTCAGAAAGGGGAAGATTGCGCATTAAAGTTGGTAAGAAATGAATCCGCCAACATGAGCCCCAACGTAACCTCGACCTCGGTGGTCAAGTCAAGATTGTCGTCCTTCAAGCCCAACCCTTTGCCATCCACGCAGCTTACATTCGGCACTTCCATCCCCGGTTGTGCAGGTAAAATTTAATGGATCAAACCTGAATGATCGGAAGTGAGGGCAAGCCAAGATCCTCACGCACGTTATGAATCAACCTCTCCATGTTTCCCTTGTACGCTTTAGCATCTTGAAGCGACGACGTATCTCTGGTACCAAGAGCAAGGCCTTGAAAACCAAGAATTTTGTCACACTTTAGAGTGTTGGATGGGATTTTTAGTGAGACAAATAGCACTAGTATTGTCACACTTGATAGGAATGGTACCTACTTCAATTCCGTAATCAAAAAGTTGTTGTTTCATCCATTAAACTTGTGCACAACAACTACCAGCTTAAATGTATTCGGCTTTAGTGGTAGATAATGCAACACAATTTTGTTTCTTTGAAAACCAAGAAATCAACATATTTCCAAGGAATTGGCAAGTACCAGAGGTGCTTTTCCTATCTAATTTGCATCCTCCATAATCCGCATCAGAAAAGGCATGCAAGCTAAAGCTATAGTCTCTAGGATACCAAAGTCCTAAACTAGGAGTGTCCTTAAGGTATCTAAAGATTCTCTTAACAACTAGTAAATGTGATTCCTTAGGACATGATTGAAATCTAGCACATAAGCAAACACTAAACATAATGTCCGGTCTACTTGCAGTTAGATAAAGCAAAGAGCCAATCATTGACCTATATAATTTAACATCTACACATTTACCTCCTTCATCTAAGTCAAGCTTTGTTGAAGAGCTCATTGGAGTGTCATGAGGTTTACCATTTTCCAGTCCAAACTTATTGAGCATATCTTTGACGTACTTAGCTTGATTGATGAAGATGCCATCTTTTCTTTGCTTGATTTGGAGTCCCAAGAAAAATGAGAGCTCCCCCATCATGCTCATCTCAAACTCACTTTGCATTAGCTTAGAAAATTCTTGGCAAAGAACATCATTAGTAGAACCAAATATTATATCATCAACATAAATTTGAACTACTAATAAATCTTTACCTTTATGCTTTAAAAACAATGTAGTGTCAACCTTCCCTTTTGAAAAACCTTTTTCAATTAAAATGTTTGACAATCTTTCATACCAAGCTCTTGGAGCTTGTTTTAAACCATAAAGTGCTTTTGTCAATTTAAGAACATGATCCGGAAATTTTGAATCTTCAAAACCTGGAGGTTGTTCCACATACACTTCTTCTTTTATAAAACCATTTAAAAATGCACTTTTAACATCCATTTGATATAATTTAAATTCATGAAAACATGCAAATGCTAATAACATTCTAATTGCTTCCATCCTAGCTACGGGAGCGTATGTTTCATCATAGTCTATGCCCTCTTCTTGAGTATACCATTGAGAAACAAGTCTAGCCTTGTTTCTCACTATATTACCACTCTCATCAAGCTTATTCCTAAATACACATCTAGTACCTACAGTAGATTTATTACTAGGCCTTTCAACTAATGTCTATACTTTACTTCTCTCAAATTGATTTAATTCTTCTTGCATAGCCATAATCCAATGTTCATCTTTTAATGCTTCTTTAATATTCTTAGGCTCTATGCATGAAATAAATGCAACATAATTACAAATATTTCTAAGAGAAGATCAAGTTGTTACCCCTTTGGATGAATCACCTATAATCTCACCATCATTGACATAGTTATACTATCTTGGATAAGATACTTCCCTTTCTTCAATGGTTGGATTATTAAGAGAATCATGAGTTACCTCATCTTTTGTTTATTCCTTTGATGATGGTTCTTCAACGTCATGTCTAACTTCATTGGTATTTATAATACCTATATCATCATTCACACAAGAATCCTTCCTCGGAAGGGGATTATCATCGAAAACAACATGTATAGACTCTTCTACAACTAAATTTCTTTTATTAAATATTCGATAAGCTTTAGAATTTAAGGAATAACCCAGAAAAATTCCTTCATCACTTTTAGCATCAAATTTGCCAAGGTTTTCTTTGCCGTTGTTTAAAACAAAACATTTACATCCAAAAGGATGAAAATAGCTAATGTTAGGCTTTTTATTTTTGAAAAATTTCATATGGAGTTTTCTTTAAAATAGGCCTAATCATTACTCGATTTACAACATAACAAGCGGTATTTGTGGCTTCAGCCCAAAAATATTTTGGCAAATTATTTTCACAAAGCATTGTTCTAGCCATTTCTTCTAAAGTTCGATTTTTCCTCTCAACAACTCCATTTTGTTGAGGGGTTATAGGTGCTGAAAAATTATGGCTAATACCATTAGAATTACAAAACTCATTAAATCCAAGATTTTCAAATTCAGTGCCATGATCACTTCTAACACTAGTGATAGAGTAACCTTTTTCGTTTTGGATTAGTTTTGAAAATGTGATGAAATTTTCTAATGCTTCATCTTTAGTACTTAAGAATAGAACCCAAGTATATCTAGAATAGTCATCTACCAAGACAAATGCATATTGTTTCCCACCCAAGCTAGTAGTCCTAGTTGGCCCAAAAAGATCTATATGGATCAATTGTAATACTCTGCTAGTTGATACGTCATTAATGGATTTAAAAGAAACTCGCTTTTGTTTTCCTTTAGCACAAGCATCACAGATTTTATCATTATCAAATTTAAGCTTAGGCAACCCTCGAACTAAATCACCTTGAATTAGCCGTTGTAAAACACTCATACTAGCATGTCCTAGTCTCCTATGTCATAACCAAATATCATGTTCATCCTTAGCAACTAGGCACAAATTAGTCATATCAATAGAATCTAAATGCACCATGTATATGTTTCCTATTCTATGACCAACAAGCATAATCTGATTAGATGCAATGTCAATGACTTTACAACCATTAATATCAAACATGACATTGAATCCCTTATCACAAAATTGACTAATACTCAATATATTATGCTTTAATCCATTCACATATAAAACATTCTTAATTTGTATGGAAGAGGTATTACCAATAGTACCAATACCTTCAATGTGACATTTTAAATCATCACCAAAAGTTACTTCTCCTCCATTTTTGGCGTTAAACTCACTGAACCGATTTTTGTCTCTAGTCATGTGTCTTGAGCATCCACTATCAAGGTACCATGAGTTTGGATTTGTTTCCCGTGCCTTGTAGCAATGCTTCTTTTCCTACAAACATAGATTAATTTCTAATTTTTGGTACCCAAATTCTTTTGGGTCCATATTCATTAGTTTCCAAAATCCTAGTCCCCTTAGGTATCTATTTGTGTAGGATATCCTTATCTTTAGTAGTAATGAGCTCTTTAGGAATCCATATACTTCTAACGATTTTTCCATTAGAGATTCTTTGGGGACCTCTATGATTGTAGTTTTTAAAACTTTTTCTAACAAAGTTGGATTTTGAATTTTCTCCATTTTCAAAACGTTTTATTCCAATTTTATCAAAAGAAGTTTTAAGATTATCAATTTTCTTTTGATGATCATCATTGACTTTTGAAAGTAAATTTTGCAAATCCAAAATTTTCTTTTCAAACTCTTCTAGTTTGATTTGCAAATCTTTGATTTTACTTTCAAGATCGTTGTTGGTTTTGGATATGAGTTTATTTTCATTTTTCAATTTTGAAATATCATTTTTATATTTTAAAAACAATTTCTCATAATCTGAAGCCAACCCATTATATTCCTCTAATAACTCATCAAAATCAGATGAGTTAGAGGTTACCTTATAATCTTCCCCGAATGCCATCAAGCACAAGTTTGCTACTTCTTGTTCCTCTTCATCGGAACCTTCTTCATTGCTCCATGTAGCCACATGAGCCTTGTGCTTATTCTTTGATTGACCATTTCTCTTCAATTATGGGCAATCATATTTGACATGCCCCGGTTTTTTGCATTTATAGCAAATGATCGGGTCCTTCTCTTTTGGTTCATTTTTGAGGCCTTCATTTCGTTTGAATTTTCTTCCTTGGTAAGGTCTCATCATTTTTCTGAACCGTTTGGAAAACAATGTCATTTCCTCGTCATCGTCATCTTCATCCGAATCACTCTCATTTTTTGTGGATTTGAGAGCAACTCCAATGTTTTTCTTCTTTTCCTTCTCCTTTGGTGTCTCTTCAATCTTATCAAGGTCCACCTCATCTTCAAGCATCATTTCATGAGTGAGGATTGAACCAATTAGCTCTTCAAGAGTTAAGGACGTTAGATCCTTAGACTCGATGATTGTCGTTTTCTTTGATTGCCATGATTTTGGGAGGGAGTAGACTAACTTCCTCACAAGCTTTTCATTTGAAATGATCTCTCTATATGATTTGAGACCATTGATAATCGTTGAGAATCTATCCGTCATAGCTTTGATATCTTCATTTGGTTTCATCCTGAAATTTTCATAGCTATGCGTTAGAATACTAATTTTAGATTTCTTTACCTCATCAGTACCTTCATGAGTGACTTGAAGTTTGTCCTATATTTCTTTGGTGGTTGTACAAGATGAAACTCTTACGTATTCATCTGGTTCAAGAGCACAAAATATGATATGGATGGCTTTGGAGTTGAGCTGGAATATTTTTGTCTCTCCTTTACTACATAATCTTGGATGAGTGAGAGGCTTGAAGTATCATTCTTCTACGACATTCCATGCTCCCATGTCACTTGCTTGAATGAAGTACATCATCCTATTTTTCCAATAGGCATAATTAGCCCCATTTAAGAAAGGAGGCTTGTTGACGGGCATCGAATCGAGACCGGAGTCGAAGTTTGAAGTAGAGGCCATTGATGACTTTGATTATCGATGTAACTCTTTCCAAATCAACTCAAGAGGTGATTAAACCTTTAAATGAGTTAGGCTATGATGCCAATTGTTGAGTTAATCGATTGACGAATATGGCCAAGAGGGGGGAGAATTGGCAATTAAAATTTTGGTAGAAGCTTTTGTAGAAAATTAAAAGAAAATGCACATCGATTTATAGTGGTTCGACTTTCTCAACCAAAGTCTACGTCCACTACCTTAGCTATCCACACTAAGGATTTTCCACAAATTCACTAATTT